ATTATTTTCATGTTAAAAACTAATATTAAATTGATAACTTTCTTTCTTATTATCTCGATGAACAGGCAATTCTTTAATAAAGTTTGCATCAGATATAATATAAAATTAGGCTCTCGTTTAAAATTTTAATATTTATTACAGTAACCAAGATAACGTCTCTAGCTGATTTGTATTGATGTACACTTTTAATGAATGAATCGTCAGTCTAGGTATTATTATATGTCATTGTTACTTATATAGCCTAAAAAAGGAATATTTAGAAATTAAAGAATTAAGAACGCAGACGATAATGTAATTTTCAAAAACAAATCCCTTTTTTTAGAAGTATTTAAAATTTGGAATGGTGAGATATTAACCAAAAGACAACCTCGATTTAAACAAGGGACGCGTTACGTTTTTTATTTATTTAAAAATTACGGCATAACGTAAACGCTCAATTTGTGTGGGCACCGTTAAGCAGAAATATTTTAGAAGAGATATTTGTAGGGAGCCGTTTTTTAATTTACAATTACTGTTCGCGCACACCCCTCCCCTGAATTTTTTTTAAAAAAATATATCACTTGATTATTGAAATTAAAAATAAAAATAAAATAACAAAAATAATTAAACAATTATAAGAATATTATATCCACATCACGAATTTATCTTCTTCTTCTCCGTTTAATGGCGATTTTCAGGTTTACCCAGGTTGGCCAGTTTTCCATCTGATTTAATAATTAGGAAATTTTGTAGTAAAGTTTTTTATAATTTAATACTTATATGTGTAATGTAAAAAGTTAATGAGTGATTGAAAATATATATATTCTTAGACAATTTATTTGGTGGTAACCAACTAGAATATGGTGTTTTTAAATATTTTTTTGGAATGAATGTAGCAGGGGAATGATTATATATTATGTATAGTTTTTGGTATATGTATAAAATAATTGATATTGGAATTTTCAAGATGTTGTTTTGTTTTAAAAAAAAATTATGAAGTTAAAAAAGAAAAAGGAATAAAAAAAAAGAAGAATAAAAAAAAATTAAAAAAAAAAATTAAAAAAAAAATTAAAAAAAAAATCAAAAAAAAAATTATGAAGTTAAATAATAAAAAAGTAAAGAAAAAAGATAAGAGAAAAAAATTTTAGAAGAAAAGAAAGATTGGAGGTAGTGAAAATGGGACAAAATTATATAGGGTTAGATGAAAAAGAATTGTCAATGGTCAAATGGATTATAAAATGGGAGGATACAATGATAAAGATATAGATTAATGGTCAAATGACATGTGAGGAAGAAAGTAACATATGGGGCAAGATGGGCAATGATGTAATTGGATGTTTAGTGTGGATCAGGTGAGCAACTGAGATGTAAATGAAATGATATAATGGAAGATTGAAATGGTCAATGGAAATTGTCAATTGTTAGATGTAGGATAAATAATGGGAAGGATACAGTAATAATTATGCAGGTAGATAATCAAATGACATGTGAGGAAGAAGGTAACAAATGGGGCAAGATGCCCAATGATGTATTTAGATGTTTAGTGTGGATCAGGTGAGTAACTGAGATGTAAATGAAATGATAGAATGAAGATTGAAATGGGGTAAGATGGAATGGTCAATGGGAATTGTCAATTAAATGGGAATCAAATGGATAGAGGTTGGCCAATGGGCAAAGGATAGGGTGAATGGTCAAAATGTTGTGGGTCAGTGGTCAAATGATATGATGAATGGTCAAATGGGAGGATAGGATTAACAGTATATGGAATAAGAATGATGTTGGTTTACAGATGGATGATTGGATCGAGTGATGTCTGGTGGTATGAATATGCAAGCTGAAATGATGATTTGCTATGTAGATGAATTGGTTCAAGATCGAATGATGTCTGATGAATGGTTTCAAGGACAGATAGATGATTGGATATGGATGTTGGAGAAGGGGGGGGGTGTTTGATTTGCGTTTGATGATATATAATGGGATTGATAAAAGGGGAAGGTGTTGTAGTGGATGTGAAGATTGTCTGTCAATCAATCAAGAAATTATTATGATTATTATTATTTATTATATCGATCGCGTATTGTCGGTATTGTACATTTATATATGACATATTATTTAAAATTATTACAATAATGTTACTAAATAGTAGTATCAAGTGCAATAAAGCATTACTGAATAGTATTATCAAAACATCGGATTCCCTTCCTGACACCAACACCCCCCCCCCCTTATTCTATGAATATTTTTAAAAAGTACTCTCTCATCCTATGCCCATCTTTGGCCAACTCCAAATGAATAACGGTGAAATTCAAGAACTATCCCTATCGCCTTTGGAGTTTTGCAGAAAAGATTACTTAACCACGAGGAAAGCGGAGGGGGAGTGAATCAACCAACTTGTGCCTCACGGCTTGTAGCGGATTTTTTTTAAGAGTACACTCGATTGAGTTCCTTTAAGAGCGATATCGGACTAAGATGAACCCTTTCTAAAAATTCGTAAAAGATTTAGCCGCTGAATATTATAATTTATTTCTTTAAATATTAATGTTTTCCCTTAGCCCAAAAAAAGAATTCGATTCGTTTAGAATATAGAAACAAATTTTTCGTTTTGTTCAAGTAGAATTAGATCCGAATCTAATACGAATGGTAAATTTTATTCAATTCGTATTTGAAAAGGCCTGTAGGAGAGTTAGAGAAATATTGTCATTTTTTTAAATCATAAAATTAACTTTCAATGAATACAATGACGAGACCAGACTCACTCTCATATGCCATCTTTGTTTACGTGTTTTATTATAAAAATAAATGTCTCGTCAATTTAATGCTAGTTATATTCTTTATATTTTGACATTTTAAAATTTTGTTTAATATATATATATATACACTTTTATTATAAAATAAAAAAAAAATAAATAACCTAAATAATTTATGTAACAAAAAAAAAGTTTATCGTAATTATAATTATAAACATTAAAATTTTAATTTACAATTCAATTTATCATGCTCAACAAATGGCAAAACGTAATATATTCATTTTTATTAAAAATATAGAAATGATGGATAATAAGATTTTTACATCTTGAATTTGTATATATTATATTTTGAACATTTAAAAAAAAAGACATAAAATTTTCAAAATGGCTCAAAAGCTTAAATTATATATTATATTGACGAAAAAAAATTGTAATCTATTAAATATCTATTAAATGATTTACTTTTTCTTCCTAACTTTCTTAATAATGTTTATTTAGTATTATAGTAGTAATAAATTTAGAAATATTTTATATAGTAGCATAAATATATATAATTTATGTAACCAGCATGATACTGTATTGATATTATTAAAGGACATAAATTATAATAATGAGTTTAAGTAGACGAGTTTTATGATATAATATTTTCCCCCTCCAGGGTTGAAAAACTTTCTGTCATACGTACAAAATGTTGTTTTAATGTTATACGTTAAAATAAAGAAAAATAATGTTACTCATTCGAAATAAACAAAATCGGAGGTAAGTGGGCTCTTCCAAAAACGTTAGTCATGTGATATAATGGTTTCTCACTCAAAGAGGATAAATTCTTTTAACTAATTAAAGCTAAGGCTGAATATAAATGGCTTGAGACAATACCCAGCCCAGCCTGACTGAAAAACCTAAAATCTCTATCACACTTAGCCTAAGCTGTAATACAATAACCAATCTAACTAGTTAAAAAAAGGTGGTAAAATAATAGGAATAAAGGTCACCACCAATTACATCGTAAATATTTTATCGAGAGCCAATCCGGCCATGCGTTGTTATTACAAGCTTTTAAACTAAAATACCAATCACTTTTGAACCAGTAGTTCTCATCAAAGATAGTTTAAAGAAGGACGGGATAATGTTATATAAATATCTTGATCAGAGAGACTCCCCCTAGCTCGGGGGTTACATTAGTAACTAAGATGATTTCTCTAAATCAAATAATTCACACTTTGCCCTGACCCAGGCGAAAAAACCTTAAAAACAAATATTATGACCTAAAATAAAATTTTTATACGCATAAGACTTTCCAATTAATTAAAAGAATCAGGGGAGAATTTTTTTAGATATCGGAGCCCTGAGGATCTCTTTAGGGATCTGGAGTTTCCTAAGCATCCATCCTACTTTGGATTACCTTACACCTTTTTTTTTTAAAAAATTGATTTTTTCGTATAAAGTTTGTTATTTTTTATCCGAGATATAAATAATCATTAAAATCTCTGAACCAGGTTGGGATTCAGGGTTCTGAGACCAGAAAAATAATAACTTATTAAAATTAGTTAAAATAACAGAAATATAATTTTTTTTTTCAAAATTTATAAGAATTTATCATCATAATAATATATTCGTGATTTTGTACTCCTCTTTGTCTTACTTAACTATCAATTTAATAATCCACAAACAATATCCTAAAATAGATATTATTATATATTTTCAAATCTGCTCTTGCTTGGTAAAATGTAAAAAAATTTTAAGAAAAATGGCCAACTCTTAAATATAACTTGAATGATTCCACGAAAAAAAATGATCAAAAATTGTTTTAAATAGGAACCACTTTTTAAATTGGAAATCTTTTATAAATGTAAATCATAAATTACACGTTTTTTTAAAATATTATATTATTTTTAACATATAATTTTAAAATAAATAAAATGAAAGTTTAAAATAAAAATTAAAAAAATTTTTTTTGCGAAATATCGAGAATTCGGGCTCTCATCCATGCTTTATATGAATTAAATTTTTTGGATGATAGTTCAAAATTAAGATCCATTCTAATAAAAGATTACTTTATTGTTATTCGGCTAACGAATAAGAATATCTTACTGACCCGTTATTGTTATTCGGCTAACGAATAAGAATATCTTACTGACCCTTCGATTAGTTGCTTTTCAACTAACCGGATTTAAAAAATTTGCACTCCGGGTTAAATTTGGTTATATAAACATATGAAAATCAATTCAAGATCGTACACATAGTTTTAATATAAAAATATATTAAAACGCACACTATTCTTGCCAATAAGAAACATTTAAATGTATATATATATATAGCCAACAAAATTATAGTTCTATATAGGCCTAGATTGTTTATCGGAGTTCGAGTGAGGGACTTGAACATATTCCTTGGGTAAATTTTGAATGCTATTAACGTAGATAGAGGGTCTGCTTCTCCTAGCGAAAACGGGTCGATGTTCCCATTGATGTCTGGCAGAAGAAAATTTAAATAAAGATGTCAGTAGTACACTTACATTTCTAATTTGTAATACAAATATAATATCTTCTCACTCATAAATATTCTTCCAGGTGGTATACCCCGACCCTGACCGAACCGTAAAGAATGTATTAATCAATATTATTTACTGAATCTAAACGGAATTGGTAACCGTTAAAAACTTCGTAACCAGAACCTCCTCTAAAAAAAAGGTAATGAACTTGACCTGTTGGAACCTAATTTTCTTTTTTAAAGATTATAAATAAATAATCGAAATGATTGGCATATAAGTGCCAGTAACAATTTTTGGATATCTTTGTATTGTGCCACTTATTGGCGTCAGCTAACCGTGTTTTCAGCGATAGAATTCTCTTTCAAATTCTAAAAATATTTTAATTGTCAGAAGGCTCAATAATTTTTAAAAAAATAATGCGATTCTTTGCATAATTTCAGGTAAATATTTTTATGCGCAAGGTTAGAACCGGTTCTTAAAGTTCTATCAAGCGGAATCGGGTTTTAAAGGTTCAATCAAACAGAGCCGATATCCTTTTCTTGCAAACCGAACTTGGAAATGTTATTTTCATCTGAACCCTAAACTGTTCCTTTTATTAATATCCTTATTTTCCAACATTTTAATTTATTGTGCCATCAAAACTATTTAAATCAAATATGCACCAAATGGCAAGAACTGACCTAACCACTATATAGGTATTGTGCCCATCTTTGATAAACCTATATTTCGAATGATATTAAATTTGATCATATGATCAATCTATCAAAGTTATACGGCACTTTTCTTACACTAACCTGACGTTATTGAACTTAAGTCTGGTATCGTGAACAAGGTTTCCCTGGTTTAAATTCTGATTATCCGTAGCCGCGAATGAATTAGGCGCGTTGTCTTGAAGCGGCGATTCCTTGCGGAAAGGGAGATGCATTTCGTTCCAGCCCGTATTATTGGGCTTCACCAAATCCGGATCGGCGTACCTGAGTCTAGTTAGGGGCGAATTTTTCAAATCCTCGTACCTTTGAGGCAGGTGATCGAACGACTGATCGTGCGCATTAATAATATATGACATCAAAGCAAATGATTGGATGAGAATTTGATATAAAAATATATGTGCTACCCAAAATTTAGAGCATTTAACATGAATGAATAAAAATAGAAGTTTGAAAAATGCTCTTCAAAAATAAAAAAAAATCTTCAAAGATTTTTGATCTCTGAAAATTTGATTCTCGAACAAGTTTTTTGATCAAATTTTTCCTATAATTCCAAAAAAAAAAATTTTTTTATAAAATCATTTTAATATTCTTAAAAAAGAAACTTTAATTTTGTGGTTTTTTTATAAAATAGAACCTAAAAATGAGTTAACAAATTTATGGAAGGAAAAAAGGGGAGAAAAATGTTTTTTTGGAATGTAAAAAAAACCGAAAGAAAGAAAAAAAACATGTGCTTTATCATTTTAATTAAATTTAAAAATTAATTTTCTTATTTAAAAAAATGAGGTAATTTTAAATTTAAATGAACGAGTTTATTTTAGATATTTGTTAAAATGTAAAAGTTCCATCAAAATATTTTTATATTATAATTCAAAATTAGTGTCGTTAAGAAATCCGCCCAATTAAGATTTTAACCAAAATAATATTATGTAAGCCTGGAGATTTTGCTCATTGATGGCAGAAGGGTCTGGACCCCTAATTTATCAAATCTTAACGCTATTTAAAAATGAATAGTGATATTGAAAATAATTTCCATGAAAATTGGTATGGTAGTAAATAAGAAACACAAAAAAAAAACGTTAGTTTTTTCCCCGAAAAAAACTCGTTTCTTTATGGGGAAAAAAAATATAATGATGAGCAAATATAATGTATTTTATTTCCCCGACCATAATCCTAAACTATTTAAAAGAAACCCTATATGCGATATGATAATATATCGTATTTTTTTTGTTCTGTTTTAAAAATCAAAATTTTTATAGAGTTTTTAGTTTTACCGGTATGGAAGCTTTCTTCTTCAACAAATTCCAAGTCCATTGATGAAGCTTTAAATTTATTAGAGAGAGAAGAAAAAAATAATAATTTGACATTTAAAGGCTAAATAGGGGAAAGAATATAGATTATATTTTATATACTTTTATCAGCATTCACGTTAGAACGCCATTAGGGCAATCATACCAATGTATACTTCGAGAATTCTCGGATAGATTTATAAAAATGTCCAAATTGATTCATAAGGACATTTTTGGTTCCAATGAAATAGACGTAGAAAAGGTATACGTCGATTTTAAAAAAAACTTAACGAGCCCCCGCCAGAAATTTTCCCAAAAAAGTAGAGGGCGCTGCGAGACCCTTCCAAAAAATTTGTTTTTTTATTATTTATAATGATATATTTTAGCACATTATATTAATATTATTTTTTTTTATATCATGAAATTAATTATAAAATATTTTATAAACAAAAATAGTAGTATATTATTAATATGTAATTGTACATTTATAATTTAAAAAAAAAATAACCCTTCCTCTATTTTTAATTGGTTATTAAAAAAATATCCAACAATATAACCCACGATCACACCCTGACATTGTTTAAATCATGGTTTATGAATTAGAGGTGTTCGATGCAATAAAAAGTGTTACAGGCGATAATCGTATAAAGGGATCAAATAGCGTCCTGAATGGATTGGAAGGGCACTCGATGTGCGATGGGGTATCTAGCCGTCTTCGTACTGTTAAGGCAGTTTAGGAATAACTATGAGTCCCGGTATACGTATTTCAAAAATTCGCTAATTCTAGCAAGCCGTGCAAAAATTTAACGGGCTGTGCCCACCCATTTTTAAAAGCGGTGAATTCCTATCGGGTCCTAATCTGTTTTTGGGGCTTCGGGAAGCGAAAGATTCGTGTTCCAAAATTGTTCGAGGATAAGCCTGGTAGGTTCTAAATCTTTTTTATAATTTCTACACGAATTATTTATAATAATATTTTTAAAAGAGAGCGAATGAAATTAGCCCAAGAAGCTAGAGAGATAAATAAACTTATTGAAGGAAAGCGGAAGGCACTCTGGGTCTTAAACGAAAATCAATTCATTACTGCCTTAATAGAACAATATGCAAAATATAGGTTAACGGATGCTAATAATTTCAGATAATTCTACTAATTAGGAAAAAGGGATACTATGTCTTTATCTTTTTTAGCCATCTTATCCGATATGGAATATCGTGATAAAGAAAACCAGAAGTTCGATATGGATCTCGCGATAAATGGGATGAGTGAGGATATTGATAAAGTTTCGAAAATTGTATTAGCACAATTCCTTGTAGTACTGCTAAATATGAGCGCGGCTTTCACCTTATTAATATGTCATTATGACGGATTTCTGCGTGCTTTACGATAAAACGCATTACCAGTTTAATAATTGATAAACGTTAACGAGTCTTCTAGGAGCCAATGAAATCCTACTCAATATACTAAAAGAGTGGCTGCCAAGTCACGGGTCTGCGAACGATAATAAATCAAAACGTGCGGTTAATTAATTTAAAAATTTTGAAAAAAAATTCGTTTATGGCCAAGATTTTTTTTTTACGCAATGTATATTTTCTGCAAAATTAGATATCCATTATATATATAATATGATGTTCCGCAAATTTTAGGGCTATAGCACTGCCCTTAATTTTAAGCAACTATTCTATTTAATAATCTTTAAATATTGTGATATGGATTAAAGGTCTATAAAGCCCGGTCTGCTTCGCCCCCGTTCAGAATTTTCGCATATGTTTCCCTACCCACTCGTTGAATGTATTCCCAGGCCCATTTGCGAAAAATCAGGCTCCTCCAGATCCGTTATAGTTTTATGAAAAGTCCGCCCCGACCAGTTAAGTTATTTTGAACGAATTTTCAGGCTATCTATATCTATTTTTTCCCCCCAATGTCAATTTAAGTTCCTATACCCCTCCTCTATGGCTATCTATTTCTACAACGACCGTTTTATAAATTAATTGTGTTTGATATCTCTATTGTGCATTTGTAATTGGATCTTTACTATATTATTTGCAGATTTAAGTATTTTAGGTTGGGCAGCTAAAAAAAAATACAAAGAAATAAGCAAATTTTAATGCCCGGCCTTGCCCATTAAAATTTTACGAGAAATTAGAGATATGCGAGGCCTGGCCCAGAAAATTTTTTACGCATGAATTGGCCCGCTCGTTTTAATTTTCCCAGTCAGGCCCGCGGGCTTTTGAACCGGCCTAGCTATGATCTCTAATGTGGATAGCTTTTTTTTGAAAAAAATTTCAAGTTAATTTTCAAGTTTTTTTTTCCAATGTCATTATTATCAAATTTTTTATGCATTAATTCCCGAGAATTCCGAATTTACTTCCAGTAATTTATTGGTAAATTTCCAGAAATGTTTCTGACCCTTTACCATAAAAAATTATTCAAAAATACATAAAAATAATCAAACTATTACAAAAAAATTTTTTGGCAAGTATCAATTTCTTAGAAATTCATTTTTTTTTTAGAAATAAAAAGATCGCAATGGCTAATGGACCGATATTCATGAATAGATTAGTCTTAGGATCGATGAGGATACAGTGATACAGGCTAGAGACAAAACCCTGGTCGGATAGTAAAATATTGAATTTAAAACTCGGTATGATTGACCTTAAAATTAAAAAACCGGGTTTTGAAAATTGGCATTCGTCGCTAAGGCCCATTGATAAATGAAAAATATATATATTTTTGATTGATTTAAAAACCGATAATTGAGATGGAAGGGCGACAGCTTGGGCTCTGTACATATTTTCATCGCAACCCTTTTCCGATAAATCATGTACCTTTAATGAATAAATAAAATAAATATATTTCCTTCTTTCTCGTTCTATCGCTTTATTTCGCAATAGGTGTGGGTTGAGTGTTTAATTTATTTTTAGTCGGTTAAAAAAATAGCTCTTAGGCGGTTAAAAACGGGATTAAACATACTTTCGAATCCGTTATAAACGGCTTTATAGTTTTTAGCAGGTTAAAAAGTGATTAAATATAGTTTGGCCCGGTTAAATATAGTTTGTCCAGTTAAAAACGGTTAAATATAGTTTGTCCAGTTAAAAACGGTTAAATATAGTTTGTCCAGTTAAAAACGGTTAAATATAGTTTGGTCCAGTTAAAAACAGTTAAATATAGTTTTCAGCCAGTTTAAAAAGTGACCAAAAGTTTAGTCCGGTTCAGCCTTGTTTTTAGTCGGTTAAAAAGTAAATAAATATAGTTTTTCGCCAAAAAACTATAACCTTCGCTTTGAGATTTTCTAGGTATACCCGACTATTGATGTAACTAATTAACTAACTCCTAAAGGTGTAGTTAATTATTTTTTCACGGCGTTTGGTAGATCCAGTTGAGAACGAATTAACTACTAAATATATGAATTTAAAAAATGGCGTTACATCGACAATATCGAATCGGCCGAATAATCTTGTATTGGCTATCATAGGACCTCTGCTCAAATCCACGTGATCGTCCACTCTGTACAAGTTTACGGAAAATCCCGTCTTCGATTCCTCCGCCATTTTTGATATTTGTTCGCGTTTAAATCTAACCAATCAAATAAATTTTTTTTAAAATAAGATATTTAGGTCGGACCAAAACCCGGTTCTATATTTTTATATATCTGGCAGGGCCGAGTTAGAAATGAAATATAATTTTTTGTAATAAATATTAAATTAGATAATCTCTTCATGCTATCTCTAGTCCCCACTTACTCAATTGACCAATCAGAATCTTAATGTTGTTGGTTTAATTGGATAATCTCATCATGCTTATCTCTAGTCCCTACTTACTCAATACCAATCAGAATCTTTAATGCAATGTTGTTGATATAATAGATAATCTCTTTATGCTTATCACTAGTCTTACTCAATTCGCCAATCAGAATCTTTAATGTAGTGTTGTTGATATTGGTTTTTTTTCTCGAATAATCTCGTAAGTAAGCCTTAGAATAAATTTTTAGAATATACTACTACAAAATAAATAAGAAATTTAAAAAACTTCGAATGTTCAAATATTTTTTGGGCTATCTTAGCGTCGACGGTTAAAGGTTGAATGAGGTGCTCTCTCCAACAAAACTGATTGGCTTGTTTGGTTAAAATTCGTAATTCCGCCTTATTTTTTTTAAAAAAAAAATGATAATATCTGATTGGTTTAAAAAAAAGAAGTGGTTCCACGTCAATTCGTGGCGGAAAAGTGGGCGCACGACAATTCGGCATGGCGTCAATTTGGTGCCTATCTAATACAGCTGTAAAATTTATTATGTGTCTATTAAGTACAAAACAAAAGGATCATTAAATAGAAGTCACGTTGAGGGTTCGGTCCTATTAATATATTTTTCATTTTTTTTTTTACAAAAATCTTAATTGGTTATATGAACATTTAATTGACGATATTTCGAGGCTTAAGTAAATATTTTGGCTAAATTCTTTATTACGCCATTTTTTAAAAAAAATGGCAGAATCGAACCATTTAACTGTTGGGGGGGATTCAAATTTACCCCCCCCCCCATTAACTTGAGTTCATTAAAGACGTATTAGTTTATATCATAATTTTCTAATTTTGGGACTATAGTCAATTTTTTTTATTTGAAATATTTAGCGTTCGGACCGGGTCGGGTTCGGGCCGGGTACGAGCCGAACCGGCCTACTTTTGCAGATCTCTAATTTGAATACGTAATTATTTAATTAATTATATGGGAATATTACAAAATTATTTATACGATCAATTAGTGCGCAAAAATTGAACGTTTCAAAAACGCACCGTTTCAAAACGCAAATAAAAAAAAAAGGAAACGCACCTATATTTAAATTGAACCGTTAATTTTTATCGGTTTTTTTTAAATATGAAACGGCTAAATTTAAAAAAAAAATGCTGCACAATTTAAACGAACGCATTTAAAATGTATTATTTGCGTTTTGAAAACGCTAAATTTGGGCGCCTGCGCACTAATATGATTAATTAATTTATTTTTTCGTAATTTGTTAGGACATTAAATAATATTTAATTGCGCAAAATGAAATGACGTATAAAAGTTAAGAAAAATATTATTAGTAGAATTCAAATTTATTTTTGGGTTCCTTCCTTTTGTTAATTTTTTTTTAAAACAATTTGTAATTTTTTGATTTAATAAAAAATAATTAAATTTTAATAAATTATAATATGGTTCCAATAAATCTGGTAAACTAGTTGATATTTAAAAAAAAAACATTAACAACACTAGTTTTTGTGGGAGTAAATATTGGAAAAAATATCGGATTCGCGGAAAAATTTTGTGTATTATCGATATCGCCACAACCTACCGGTTTATCAGTTGTTTAAACGGCTCGATTTAAGCCGATTTTTAAAACCGGCTAACCCAATATTTTCGCCAGAAAAAAATATGGTCTAAGCCTCGAGTCATCGTCGTTAACAGATGTTCAAAACCTTTGTGCCACGCCACCTATGAACAAAATCTTTAAAGCTCGCATAATATTTATCCTAATAAAATATTGAGTTGACGGTTTTTAAAAAATCGGCTCAAAATGAGCCGTTAGAACTCTTAACTATATCTAACATTCTAAAAATAAAATTTATTACTTGCGAGGGAGACCATTTTGTTGAGAAGGGCAGTAGAAAATCGTAACAAAATTTACATCTGTTAACTAAATACAATTTTTTTTTTAAAGATAAAATATTTAACGAGATCAAATATTTAGACGCGTAGCCAGAGCCCTTGTAAAGTTAATATTTCGCGAGGAGAGCACGACCCGAGCCCGATTAAAAAAATTTTGGAATTTTTCACCCCTTCCTTCCCAACCCGTTTATTAAATATAAGTAGGAATTTCTTCCACACTTCAGATTTTCCAGTCGAATTTTTCTTTGGGTCTCAAATTCTCGAGTTGCAATCTTTTCAAAAAATACCATTTTTTAAATTTGTATCCCATATTCTATAAACATCTTTATATATTATAAAGATCTGAGGCTATTTAATCGAATTTCGTAACTATCATAAACAGAAATTAAAATTCCAGATTTTGTCGGCTTAATGTAGAATGTAATATATATTTTATTTTAACCTAAAAGAATATGATGTGTTTTAAAGAGTTTTAACTGGTGACAATCACAGGAAAAATTGTTAATTTGGGAAATGGAAAAATTACGTAAATGAATATAGGTGAAATGCGTTAGATGGAAAAATGACACGTGATTCTTAATTGTCGTTCCGATGAAATAAGATGATTATCGAGAATATTTTCTGAATATTAAATTATCGGGCGTCAGGCCGGGCTGTCACACCGAGCAAAAAGATTCCGAATTCCTTGCCCGCGTAGCCAAGAATTTTCTACGGGCAGGGGCGGATAATTTTTTTTTTGGAACATTAACAAATTTATTAGAACTAATCAATAATATAATATTTATTACAATATAAACTAATCATATTGGAAAAATAAAAAATACATAAGGGCGAATAATATAAGGTTAAAAAAATATTAGCTATAACCGGTATGTAAATTAGAGATATGCAAAGTTATTTTTTTTTAAATATATCTAAATTTATCAATTTTACATTGATTTATTTTTATGTGAAATAAAAAATATTTGATTTATTTATCGAAATTAAACAACATATAACATGTCTTTTATTTCGAGTAATTATAAAAATTAATTTCTATATTTAAATAAATTCTGGCAACATTTTTAAAAAAAATTCTTCGGGTCGGGCCGGCAAAACTTTTTTAAAAAAATTTCGGGTTCGGGCCGGGTTTGAAAAATTAGGCCCGATGCAGATCACGTAAATCACAATAAAACATAGAATTAAACATTTATTACGATGAAAATTCAATCCTCCATTAGCTTTGAAGTCAAAAAGGTGTATCCAAAAAATGGAATATCAACGGTTATTTTTATAGTACTCCTGAATCTAGTCCAGGTTAATTATCGAAACCATCCGCTTGTCTAGGTCTAGGTGTAGGTCTAGACTCGCGAATCTCGAAATTATATAATTTCGCCTTCGCCTTCGCCTCCGCTATCGCGTAAAATAAAATAATTGTTAGCGATTCTCATAACTTCAGCCAAATCCATATCATTTTTTTTTTTAAAAAAAACATTAACATTGTCATAAAATTTGTGGTGGTAATTAAATATATTAATGCATTCCAATGCAAAAAAAAAATCGGCTGACGTAATTTTATCTACTAACGTATCTGCTTCGATGAAATATAGATTGAGACCATTCTAGTATTTCTCCAAAAATAGGTTCTTTTAGATACCAAAAATGCTGTAACAGCTTGATGTCTTAGGTTCCATCCTGGTGGGTATGCCTTTTGCAATTTATTTCTTCTTGTGGCGCCAGAAGTTTCCTAAGTTATTTTATTCAGCAGATTCTGTCTATTTGATTATCTGGGCATTTTAACAAAGCTAGAAATGTTGCTGCCTATTCATAGTTATTAGTAGAGATAAATTAAATATAATTTTTTTTTTGGTGGATAAAATTATCTCGTATCCATCAATATTTAAGAGGTTTCAAAAAAAAAAATGTAAGAAAATATGCTTTAAATTTTGGTGGGATAAAATATTAATAGCACAGGGAAGAAATGTTTAAATTAATTTTAACTCTTAGGCTAAAATTTTAAATATAACGATCTCATTTGAAATAGAATACTTTTTCATAATTCATGAAAACCCTTTTATATTTTTACAAAATTTTACTGCGCAAGGGGGGGGAGGAAGGGGACTCGTTCCTCCTGCTACCTATGCCCCCTAAAAATTAGCGTTGTTAACCGGCTGCTCGATTTGAGCCGTTTTTTAAAAACGGCTAACTCAATATTTTATTCAGGAAAACATTACGCAAGCCGCTGGCATAAAAGTTTTCCCATCTATTAGCTAAATCTCGAGGCTTAGTAAATATTTTTCTGGCTAAAATATTTAGCTAGCCGTTTTTAAAAATCGTCTCAAATCGAGCCGTATATCAACACTACTGAAAATATTACTTCCTATTTAATAATTGTGTTTGATTGGACTACAAATTTAAACAAATAGGAATTTTCCTTTTTTATATTTAATACTCTGGGATTAAGACAAAAGATATCAGGATTTTTTTATTGAATCTACTCTTATAAAAAAAAATATGGTTTAGTTTTGTATTTATTTTGTTAATAATTTTGGACCAGACATGGGCTTGGGGTGAAAAATTATATCCACAGGGTTAAATTATTGAGGTGATTTAGAAAATACAAGAGCAAGTTAACAATAACTGACAAAATAATTTATTACAGAGGTAAATTGCCAAAAATCTATAGAACATTTAAAGAAAATTTTACAAATTAATAATTACAATATTCAAAAAAAATAATAAAATATGGAAAGAGGGAGTTAAAATTTTGATTTAAAACAAAGATATAGTTTATGCCTTAAGCTCCATTATAGTATTATGAGCTAACTATGAATTAAAAATAAAGAGCTTTGCATGAACTGGTCTAAGTTAATCTGATTCAAGTTCAATCTAAATAAACAAGGTTGGTCAGACTTGGGCCAATATTTTCTCAGACCAGGCTTAATTCTGCCCTTTAATTTCAAAATTTATTTTTTTTTACCTATTGTTTTAATGAATATTTTCTTTAAAAATAACTTTAAAATTAGTTATTATCCTTTGGCATTTGCTTATCATTTTTTCAAAGTCCATTTAAATATTGTATTTGGATTTATTTTTAAATAAAATTTATGATTAAACTTGTAACTTTGAAAAATTGACAGATCTGATTGATCAGAAAAAAATTTTCTTGGATGAAATCAGACCTGAAAAATAGGTCCCAATAGAAGCGATAATAAATATTCTTAACTTCACTTTTTTTTAAAATAATTCAAGCCATATAATTTTTAAAAAAATACCAAAATATTTCTACAAACAAGCAAAATAGCTATGATAATTAGTCTGGTCTTAGATTATTCATAAAATCAAATTTATATAAAATATCAACCTAATGTAGGAATCCAACTATGTAAGTCAGTTGAAAGTTCATCTTTAAAGCTATTTTCAATTATATTCCCTAAAATAAAGGAACCTGTGCGCCAAAAAGCCTATATTTTAATCATATTGTAAAATAAATGTATAGTAATGTATTTACCTTATTAAGGAACTGACTGTCTTCATCTTTGAAATGAAGAAAATATAACTCACTATCCTCAACAAGAGGTTTATGTATATCCCAGACCTTCCCATTAACAATAGCTAAAGCACATCTTTTTGTAACATATTCATGTATATCTAATTATTAAATAGTAATGAAAATTTTAAAATAAAATACGTTTAGCACAATCGTAAGGAGTGGATAGGTTTTTATTCATTATTAATGAACATTCTTGTGGCGGACCTTTAATTTGAACTTTAATTTTTTCAATTTTTGTAATCAATGATTTTTGTCTATTTTTCTCATTTTGAAACTGTTCATTTCTAAATATTTTAAGATCTTTAGCTCCTATTTTAACGTTATTAGAAATCAAGGTTGCTATCCCTTTACATTGTTTTAAATATTACTGAAAAACATTATAATTTATTACCTCTAAAGTTATTAAAATTCAAATATCTTTCCATGATGTTTGTATAGAATAATCGAGCTTATACGATAATAAAGTGATTGGCATAGAATTTAAAGTTGACAAACTTTATGTCATATTTCTAGGAAAATAATTTCGAAATATATTTTAATATTTTTTAAAAAAAACTTATATTTTCAAAAAATTATTGCCCGTCAAAAATGACGGAGAATGAGAATTTTATTCGTCTTTAAGAAAGATGTTAACTTTTATTTAAAAATCATATCCAATTTATATAATTTTTAAACCCCTCCCCCTCCCCATTTAGGTCAAGTCCAAGCAATGTCATTGAGTCCAACCCATTAGGACTAAGAGTGGAAACTATTATTTGAGTCAAAATATATTTAAATGAGCTTGTACCCAATACCAAAATTCTTTGTAAATATATTACTGGTTACATAAGACTAACATTTAACATTAAAAAATTTCAAGCCAGGTCCAAGCTCATAATATTTGGAAAAAAATTTCCAAGCGTTCAAGACCTTATAATTTATAAAAAAATTCTCAAGCCTAGCTCAACCCATAATAATTTTGAAAATTTTTTCCCAGCCCGGCCCATAATAATTTGTATAAGATATTCCCAAGTCAGGTGCAAGCAAATATTAATCTTGAGGAAGATTTTTCAAGCCCAGGCCATCCCATATTAAGTTTCAAAACTTTTTCCCAAACCCGGAGATAGTTAAATTTCTAAATAATATATCAACACAAGAAGGGGAAATATCGGATTTACCAATTAGTGGGTTAACTCCTTTTATCAAAGGGCTATAAAAAAATGCTATCTATTTAAATTACAAAAATGTCATTCAATACAAATGAAACTTATATGCAATTTATTTATATATTTTTTAAGAAATTTGTTTTTCTTGCCATATAAATTTAGGTAATTTTTTTAAAAAATGATGAGGAATAATTATTACTCTGTGTGTCTGGTAAAATTAAGAGCAAATCCTTTCAGTCGTCTGCAGAAGAAAAAATTAATGTATAATATCATCCCATTTAGGGTTGTAGGTGAAAGTAATTGACGGATTACCAAAGCAGTGTACAACACCCATTGCGTCCTGATAAAGCTGAGGCCCTGGGCTACTGGTAAAAGAAGAACGCAAAATGATATTTCTGCCAAAGTGTCAGTTTTGGTATCCCCCTCTAAAATAGAATCATGAACGACATTGTCAACTCAACCATAAAATGGTCGTAAGTATTGTTATAAAGGCCATGACAAAACTACCGCATATTTTCCCATTAATAATGTTAATGAAATTGGCCGCACTACACATTCACGTTTGAACATCTCTCTAAATATTCATGAAAGTTCCTCAGGGAATCGGTAAAGTATTATTTATAATAACTCCTAATGAGGTGAGTGATAGTGGAATTAAATGCTTATATTTGTTAAAAATTAGGCAGAGGTGGCATAGGGATTGTGGTAGTGGTGATAGAAATATCATTTGGAGGCAACTGGGTGTATAAAATAAACATATAGATATAAAACATTAGATAAAAAACAAAATAAACCTCCAGAGGAGTTCACAGTGCCTTATTATCTTGGCCACCAGTAACTCTAGAACGGGTAAGGCGGTTGTTGAATCGCCATTTTTTTCTTTGCTTATCTTTAATAAAAGATTCATCATGTTTGGTAGCAATGTGAGGGATTAGGGTTAGCCTAGACAAATAAAGAAATCAGGCAAAAATATAAATATACTATTGTTGAAATTAAACAAACATTAAAATAATGTAAAACCGGTAGAAGGGTCAATATTAGATGCATATTTCTAATAAGTTGGAGGGCTATCATCAAATAAAATTTTTGGGGGACTTATCAAGTCTATTATGATATTCTAAAAGTTAAAAATAACATGATAAATGTAATGTTATTAAGATAAAGGTTAATTAATTGTAAGGTAATTAAAAAATTAGATTAAAAAAGGGAGGAAAAAGAAGGTATAAATTATTATATTATATTATATAAATTAAAGGTGATAAGGTTTTGAGAAATAGTGGTTAATAGATAATAAAAATAGAAAGAAAAGAATGAGATAATAAAATTTAGTGATAAATAAATGTTTATATTTGTTAAAAAATAGGTGGAGGTGGCATAGGGATTGTGATAGTGGTGATAGAAATATCATTTGGAGAACTGGGTGAAAATATAATAAACATAGATATAAAACATAAGATTAAAAAAAACCTCCAGAAGAGTTCATTTCAAGCGTAGTACTTTATTATTTTGTCTACCAGTAACTCTAGAACGGGTAAGACGTTTGTTTATTCGTCATTATTTTCTTTGCTTATCTTTAATAATAGAATCATCATGTTTTGTAGCAATGTGAGGGTTAAGGTTGAGTTAGCCTAGACAAATAAAGAAATCAGGCAAAAATATAAATAAACATCATTATTGAAATAAAATGAAGATTTTTTGGAATAGATATAAAATAATATATAATATTATTTATAATAAAAATAATATACTATGTATATTTTTTGTGCGTTATACAAAATAATCAGCAGGGATAATAGAGCAATGGTGGATCCGACAAAATGGTAAGCTTTTAAAAAAGTAGGATCCTTAAAAATTGTTATATTAATTTAGTTAAATTTTAAAAATGTACTTTGATATAATTTTCAATTAGACATAATATTCATCAGAGATAAAAGGGCATATTGAGCTGTCCGACAAAAAGATGCTTTAATAATATAAAATTGTTTAAATTATAAAATAATATCATACTAAGTAATGTTCATTCTTATTCTTATAAACCGGGATTAATCGGATATAACCTCATGATATACCACATTGGTTTCTTTTTTTGATAGATCTGCCATCTTTTTCTTTTATTAATGACGGATAAATCACCACCTGTACAATTATAAACTGAGGCTAGGACATGGCTTGTTATCTGTTATCTAAAATAGAAACAAAAGAATAAATAAAAAAAATAAATGCTGAACTTGATGAGGAGTCAATATACCACCTGTACAATCATTAAATGAGGGTAAGACAGGGCTTGTTATCTAAAATAAAAACAAAGAATAAATAAAAAATATATTAATGTATTAAACCTGAAGAGGAGTCAATATTAGGTTAACCTCTCTAGAAATAGTGGGAATTTCATCCATCATAAGCTAAGTATTCTAAAATGAAAAGTATAAGCCTTTTTAGTATATATAGATGAATAACTTTATTTTGCATTTGGTAGATTTTATTGGGCTTCATGTCATATGACCCAGTATATTTTTTTGCTTGAATATGATTTGAATTAAGAATTGAATGACATTATTTTTTGATAACCAGCTTTCGCCTAAAGTGTGTAGCCTGGGTAGGGAAATAAGAGAAAATTAAAGGGAAAGAAAATAGGGAAATTAAAAGGGAAAGAAAGGAAAAGAGAATTTTAGTATTTTTTAAATTTAGATTTTTCCCATATTTAAGACTGTTGTTAAAATAATGCATGTATGATGTCTATAGTAAGGATACATATGATGTCATAGCATAATCAGTATACATTTTGTATGTTACTGAAAACTATTTTTTGAGTTAAAATATATATCTTTATAAAAATATTAACATAAGACTAACATTTAATAATAAAAAATCTCGATATAGGTTCAAGCCTACAATACCTGGAAAAAACATCCAAGCATCCAAGATCTTAATATTTAAAAAGATTTGCTCAAGCCCACCTCAATCCCTAATAATTTTGAAACCAAGTCCAGAGATATTAAATTTATAATTAATGAAGAGGAAATATCTGATTTACCAAATAGTCTACGGGTAAAATATATTACTTTATAAAAATAATAATATAAGACTAACATTTAACATTAAAAAATCCCGATATAGGGTTCAAGCATACAATATCTGGAAAAAATATCCAAGCATCCAAGACTAACCTTTAACATTAAAAAATCCCAATATAAGCCTACAATATCTGGATAAAATATCCAAGTATCCAAGATCTTAATATTTAAAAAGATTTTCTCAAGCCCACCTTCCCTAATAATTTTGAAATCAAGCCCAGAGATATTAAATTTATAATTAATGACGAGGAAATATCTGATTTACCAAATTAGTCAACAGGTAAAATATATTACTTTATAAAAAGAATAACATAAGACTAACATTTAACATGGAAAAAATATCCAAGCATCCAAGACTAACATTTAACATTAAAATATTCCAATATAGATTCAAGAAAAAAGCATCCAAGATCTTAATATTTAAAAAGAATTTCTCTAACCCACCTTCCCTAATAATTTTGAAACCAAGCCCAGAGATATTAACTTTTTAATTAATGAAGAGGAAATCTCTAATTTACCAATTATTCTACAGGTAAAATATATTACTTTATAAAAATAGTAACATAAGACTAACATTTAACATTAAAAAATCCCAATATAATTTTGAGAAATATTATACTTGATAATTAAGAGAATGTTCTATAAAAATATTTTCTATAAAAAAAAAATAAAATAAAATCAATAAAAAAATAAAAATAAGTATGTAGCGTGGATCCGACAAAATGGTAAGCTTTTAAAAAAGTAGGATCCTTAAAGTATAAATTTATTTAAATATTAAAATTGTACTTTGTATATTTTTCAGTTAGTTAGACAAAATATTCATAAGAGATAAAAGGGCATATTGTGCGGCCCGACAAAATGGATAGCTTTAAAAATAGGTAGGATGCTTAAAATAATATAAATTTAATTAAATTATAAAAAAGTAATCGATTTTTTGGAATAGATATAAAATCATGTATAAAATTATTTATAATAAAAATAATGTACTATGTATATATTTTTGAGCATTACACAAAATAATCCATAGGGATAATAGAGCAATGGTGGATCCGACAAAATGGTAAGCTTTTAAAAAAGTAGGGTCCTTAAAAATTGTTATATTATTAATGTACTTTGTATATTTTTCAGTTAGTTAGACAAAATATTCATAAGAGATAAAAGGGCATATTGTGCGGCCCGACAAAATGGATAGCTTTAAAAATAGGTAGGATGCTTAAAATAATATAAATTTAATTAAATTATAAAAAAGTAATCGATTTTTTGGAATAGATATAAAATCATGTATAAAATTATTTATAATAAAAATAATGTACTATGTATATATTTTTGAGCATTACACAAAATAATCCATAGGAATAATAGAGCAATGGTGGATCCGACAAAATGGTAAGCTTTTAAAAAAGTAGGGTCCTTAAAAATTGTTATATTATTAATGTACTTTGTATATTTTTCAGTTAGTTACACAAAATATTCATCAGAGATAAAAGGGCATATTGTGCGGCCCGACAAAATGGACAGCCTTAAAAATATGTAGGATGCTTAAAATAATATAAATTTGTTAAAATTATAAAATAATATCATACTAAGTATATTCAAACAATTTATTTTTTATAATGCTTAATGATTTTTATACTTTTTTTTGTACTATGATCAAGGTTAAAATTATATTTTGATTTTATAAATTTATAAAATGCTTTTATAAAAAAAACACTATTTAAAAATAAATTAAGACTGTTGGTAGGATCATCTGTTTGTATAAAATAAATAAATAAAATCAACAAATAAAGGAACACGATTTATGAAATGTTCACGAAATTTGCTATTGAGCATTTTTAAAGTCTACTTTAATTATAGCTATGTTAGGAGGAGGATTTTGGAATACAAATGGCATCCGAAATTATTTTGCCTTCCCTTAACACCAAATCCTAATTGATAAGTATACTTAATAAGTTAAGACTGTGGGTTTTGACCCATAGCAATTATTTTTGCTAATAATCTTCTAAATAGCCTATTGCAATCCACCACAGTGTTTGTGAGGTAATCTGGTTTGCCCCCATAATTGATTCGAATATATGAAGGACAGATCTTTTTTTAAAAGAGCATTTAGGAAGGTTTTAAAAGCATTTAAATGATTCTTTGAGAAGAATGTAGATTTTATAAGGAGTGCGAGAGCAAACGTGGAAAATTTCTTAAAAGAATTGATAAATATCATAACTCACAAATCATATTTTTTTTATTCCATGTTTATTGGACTTTTCCCTAAAAATTTATAGAAATCTTGGGAAGGATAAATACGGATAATCTATTCCTCTAATTTGACTATTCTGATTCATCCATCATCAAATGACGGTAAAATTTATTACTTATCCATACGGAGAAAATTCTGATTACCCGTCCGTCATTCTTGACGGGCTCTCAGCCAGTATATCTATAAATAGCAAAACAATATCACAAAAAAAATGTTTTATAAATATCGTTAAATTGACCGATAATCGAATCGAAACCGACCACTTACTAAATATTTAATTTTTTTCTTCTCTATTATATATCATCAAAATGTGCGACATCTTAAAATTTATTAAATGGACAAGCTTTACTCATAGAGATCAAATCCTCACCACAAAACAAACTATCAAAAAATTGGCGCGTGAACGATATTTTGCGAAAAATATTAAGACCCTTAAAGTAAATAAATCTTTTAATTTTACGATAGATTTTTGTATCCGATACATTGCTTCATCCTAATCATTAAATAATAACCCTATTATATAATCAACTTGTTTATTAATTTATTTATTTTTATTATCATCGCTTACAAATTACAAATATAATTTTTTT